AAAAAAAAAAAAAGAAATGATCTTTCTTTAAGAAATTATCCTATTATTATGATAGTCTTATTTTTCTAGCAACTAGTAAAACCTAGTACTAAAACATGTATTTCAGAAAAAATATTTTATATGTACAATATCTAATAACATCACTCCTTTCTCTATAAACACATATATATATATCAGTCCTAAAATTATAAGGAAAATGGACATTAATTAAATTATTAATTTAAATTATTAATTATATTCATTCATAATTTAAATTAATGAAATCATCATTTAGTTCAGTATTCCCAATATTATAAATCCTAAATATCATTAAGAGAATGTTTAAAGATAACTTTCAAGTAATTAAAAAGTTTATGCAACTTTTCTCATATAAAACATCATTAAGCTAATTGACATCTTTGAAATAACTATGCATGGAATACATCAATGAAACCTATTTTATATTAATATCACTCATCATCCAATATCCATAACAAAATAAATAACATATTGATATCCACTTACTGCAATCTCTCTACAAGCCGACATGGATATTCCTGTGCCTTCAATTTGCTTCAATGCATATTCCTTTTCATCTTTTCTGCATATGAACAAAAAAAATTATTTTTTCTAAACATTATTTTTAGACTCAAAATTATAACTACAAAAACAATAAAAATGCACTAGTCTCTCAGTGATATGTAAACACTCTCACTATGCATGCACTGCTTACTGCTTCTGATAATATTTCAACTACAGAAATATGAAATACCAAAAAAAAAAAAATTCATGTCACAATGAAAACACTAGACAGAGCCAAAATACAAAATTCAAAATTGAAACAGGATACTAAACACAGCACTAGTTTCAAAAAGTAAACAAGCATAAATATAAACTCAAGCATATTGCAAGATAATTCTACTGCTGTCTTAATTATCTGGAATCTATGAAAGCATTCTGTTATAAACATTAACTGCAAAAATAAATGATAGATGCAAACTTCTATATTTGTTTAAAGTAACTTTATAGTATAAGATCTATTTAATAGGAAGGAAGAGCTATAGCCATTTGGACACCCTAGTTCTAACCTAGGATAGGGGGCGTTCAAAAGCCATAAGACCTCAACCAAAAGCCTTGGAAAGACTTTAAAACTGTAGCCACCAACATCTCATTCTCAAGAACTCCAGGAAATCCTAGTAGTTACAGCGAATTTTCCAAATAATGTAGGTAGGTTTAGGAATTCTGGGAAATGCCAGTAGTTACCAGGGTGCTCAACCAAGGGAAGACAGCAGTTCAATAATAATAATAATAATAATAATAATAATAATAATGGTGATACCCTCCATGAAAAAACAGTATCACATGAGCAGCCAGAGAACACAATATCCATGGGGTTTGACACCAGAACCGGCCACAGCGAAATGTCAAAAATGTGGTTCATATTGTGGGTTGTTCTAATAAAAGTATTGTCCGTGCCCTCTGAGTTTTGTCTTTGATTATACTGGAGCCTCAACAAGCTTTATCATGTCATGATGGTTCTCTCAAATGATAGCACCTAAATGGTGTCACCTTGGTCCTATGTACCTATTCCTTATTTTCCCCATTCTGTGTTTACTAGCAGATGAAGCAGTTTAAGAGGTTTTTGACAATATGCATTTTAAAACATCATTTTACGCTCCTTTTAAAGATTTTCACAACCATCTATGTTTTGGGCAAATAAGTGAATTATAGTTACTTCCTCCCATAATCCGTTTGAAAATTACATCCATTTTTCTTCCACTATATGGCATTCAGGAAATAATTAAGCCTCATTTTAACAAACAGAAAACACACCAGCTACATCAACAGAATAGACTGTTATGCAATTATTAAAATGATAATCATGACTGTCATCAGAAACATGGAAAATGTTTACTATTAGTGAGAAAACACATATTCTACCATATAAAAATATACATATATATAGACACATGCTGAAAATGATATAAAAAATGAAAATCAGTTGTGTTGAATGTAGGAACTTAAGCTAATTAACTTTCGTGCTAATGTTATATTGTCTTTTAAGTCAGAATTAGAGGAAAAAAGAAAAAAGCCAAAATAATTTGACCCTCTGAAAACAGTCCCCTATTAAAACAGTCTTTAGTATTTTCAAAGTAATATCTTAATCATGTTTTAAAAAGCAAAGTCAAAACTAGGGAAAGTTTAAGTGATCATTTTATCCTTTTTCTCTATCCTGTTTCCTCCAAACATAAAGCTAGACTTTTTTCAGACCAGCCAGAAGCCACTAAGAAGTACACACAGCAGGTGACTGAATGTAATTAAAGCCAAATGTCCCCACCACCTTAAATGTATGTGTGGGTATGCGTAGAGAACACTTATATCCGAGATGCTTAACGCAATGCTTACAATGTGAATTTCACATTTAGTAATTAATTTAACTACCAAGTATATATTGCTAAATATTTAAGAAATGTATTAAATTCTGAAAACAAAATTACATAAGCTTTTTGGCAAAACTTTCAATGAAATCATAATTTTTTTAAACAAAAATATTTCAATCCCCAGTTCCCTAAATGAAGTGCTCCAGAAGCTCATGTAATTGCATGGTTTTATTTTTAATACAGTAAAGAATATTACACAATCTGGATAGGTTATCGTTGCTATGGAAACTATAAGATTTTTTTTTTTTTTTGCAGTAAGTCAAAAAGTGCAAAATTAACACATCACATTAATGACTTTTGAATTTCACATCCAGTCTGTCAAAAGAATTTGAAAGCTTGAGCAGAAGAAACTGAAGCATGGGCCTTTACTATGAATTATATGGATGGGATCTAGGAACAAACCCGGTAATTATTTCACTTAATAAGTTTAAATATAACTTCCATCTGCTAAATTAGCTAAATACTCAAAGATCTGCAAACTTAAGATTTATCTGCAGCTTTGGAATTGAGGGGGAAAAAAGTGCGTGTGTCCTGACCGTTTCTCTTGTGTATTAACTGTCAGACAATAAGTGATAATGTGGCACCTCTGAGGTTCAAAGGTTACAAAGAAGTGGCAGAACCCAGCAGGCACATGGGACTCACGTTCACCACTGCACTACTATGTCAATGCCAGTCTTTGGTCAGATGCCAATAAGTTAGTTTTGAAAACTACAGATGCGTCCTTTCCCACAATGCCCACAAACATTTCAATGATTATTAGCACATGGGGCAGAGACGCTTTATTGCTCTCAGTCGATGGGAGTGTTGCCCCTCTTGGGGACCTTCTCCAAGTGGTGATAGTTCATACCCCACAGCTTATGTGTCTCAGACACACATAACATTAAGTATCATAAAGATATATTTGTTCTTTTATATGACAAGGCTGAAAAGCAGGTGAACCTAGTGAACCTGCCCTGCACTGCTATGACAGCCTGGCTTTTAGAGGCAGCTTACTACTTTCTTAAAAGTATTTCAACATTACTTTTACTTTTAAATAAAATACTTTATTATTGGGGTGCCTGGGTGGCTCAGTCGGTTGAGCGTCCGACTTAGGCTCAGATCATGATCTCGCGGTTCGTGAGTTCCAGCCCCGCATCAGGCTCTGTGCTGACAGCTCAGAGCCTGGAGCCTGCTTGGGATTCCGTGTCTCCTCTTCTCTCTGACCCTCCCCTGCTCATGCTCTGTCTCTCCGTAATAAATAAATGTTAAAGAAAATTTATAAAAAAATAAAATACTTTATTATTTACTGTAATAAAAACAGACAAAGCAATTGCAAAATCTTCAGAGAAACTGCTTTCTGAATTTTAGTGCACATTAAGTATTATGGTTAGAGTAACTGCTTATTGAAAATAATCAAAGGAAAAAAATTTTTAAAAAGGTGGGGGGGAGGCGGGCACTGGGGTCTCTCAGGTGGTTAAGTATCTGACTGCAGCTCAGGTCATGATCTCCCAGTCCGTGAGTTAGACCCCCGCATCAGGCTCTGTGCTGCAGCTTGGAGCCTGGAGCCTGGAGCCTGCTTCAGATTCTGTGTCTCCCTCTCTCTCTCTGCCCCTCCCCACTCGTGATCAGTCTCTGTCTCTCAAAAATGAATAAATGTTTTAAAAGATTAAAAAAAAAAAAGAAAAAAGAAAGGCGGTTACTAAATAAATCCAGGAAGAATCAAAAATATATAAATCTTGGGGTGCCTGGGTGGCTCAGTCGGTTAAGTGTCTGACTTCGGCTAAGGTCATGATCTCACTGTCTGTGGGTTCTAGCCCCGCATCGGGCTCTGTGCTGACAGCTCAGAGCCCGGAACCTCCTTTGGATTCTGTGTCTCCTCCTCTCTCTGCCCCTCCCATGCTCACGCTGTCTCTCAATAATAAATAAATGTTAAAAAAAAAAATTAAAAAAAAAATATATATATAAATCTGTAACATAAACATGGATATATTTAATATGTAACTTTTTAAATTTAAAGACATTTCTTCTATATGGCTGTAATGTATATCAAAACCATGTGGGCTTCGCTCTCAGTAGTGACAAAGAAAAACAATTATTCAACAGGAACATTATGTAATAACAAAATAGAAAAACAAATTTGGCAGAGACTGCAATTCTATTAAATTTTCCATTGGAGACACTATGTTCTGGAAAACCCGTGATGCAAGCAATTCTATAGTTAGTAGAAAATATAAGAAGCACGTATTTGCGCAAATTGTAGAAACTGTTGTCTTAAAATGAAAGCTTTGTCCCAGGCAGAAAACCAGGCTCAGTAGAATTTAAATGTAATTCAGGGAAGAATTTCTCAAGCCTAAAGAAGCAATTCAGGAACGTCTCTTAAATAAAATATTAGGAACTGGTTTAACGAAAAAAGATAGTCTTATACCTTTCATTCATGTCCCAATTTGGTAGCCAGCCTCCAATCACTTTTAGCAAGGTGAAGCACCATTCAGCAGCCTATATGTACAAGTATAGTTAAGGTCTGGCCAAAACTTTATTTCTTGGCCCAAATCATGGCCCAAAGCTTTTTGATTCCTATCAATAATACTACGAGGGCACCTGGGTGACTTAGTTGATTGAACATCCAACTCTTGATTTCGGCTCAGGCCATGATCCCAGGGTCGTGGGATTGAGCCCCGCATCAGACTCCACACTGAGTGTGTAGCCTACTTAAAATTATCTCTCTCTCCCTCTGCGCCTCTCTCCAACCTGTGCTTTTTCTCACTCTCTAAAAAAATAAATAAATAATAATAATAACAATAATAATAATAATAATAATAATAATAATGTGTCCAGATCAGCCCTGGACCATCTTTGGTCCTAAGGATCTATGACAGACAAAAAAAATTAGAAGCATCTTTTAAGATAAGATGAGGAAATTCAAACTCAAGCAAGGCTGAAATAAAAATTTAAGTCTTCAAACTAACAGAGTTAAATCCCTTTGTTGTTGTTGTTTAGAAGGAAAGCCAAAAAATGCTTACTATTTTAACATCAGCCAACAAACAACTACTGAGTAAATATTATATGTCCCAATATGTGCCAAATTCTAAGGATGAACAAAATTAGAGACTGACTACCCAGACATCATGGAGTTCACAATCTACCTGGAAAGAGATTCTGGGTGGGTAGGAAATATAAACAA